ATAGTGTGATTTACTAATATATTTTAATGTAAAATTAGAACCACTGCTGTTTTCACAGAAAAAGCAGCTTGAACTGGGAGACAAAATGAATTTAGCCAGTTATTTGTTGAAACCAGTCCAGAGAATGGGTAAATATGCTCTTCTTTTGAAGCAGTTGCTTAAGGAGTGTCCAGAACGGGAACTGGAACATGAGGATCTGAAGGTATATGATATTTCTGTATATGTTAGTAAGAGAGGTTTGTATGCTACATAAACTTTAATACTGAATGTTTTTTTTTATTATTAATATAAAGTTAACTTGTAATGGGAATTTTTGTAATGTTAATAAAATAAAACTTGTTCCTTAAGAGTTATTACATCTAACAAGCTCTTAATTTTGTAAAAAAAAAAAAAAAATTAATAACTTAGTATAGATAATGATGTATCATTTAGGTTGGCTTACATAACTAAAGAAAAACAAAGGCTGCAAATACCTCTTAAGAAGTGTGAAATGAATATTTATTTTTATTCTAAACTAATTCCACTTTATTGGGAATACAGGCAGCAGAGGAAATGGTGAGATTTCAGCTGAGACACGGGAATGATCTGTTGGCCATGGATGCTCTAAGGGAGTGTGATGTAAGTAGTTACAATTTTTCTACAATTGTATTTGTAATGCTACCTCAAAATAGCTGACAAGAAGAACATTAATTTATTGGACCCATTTAGGAAAGAAGTACTTATGTGTTTTTTTTTGTTTTTTTGGTTTATGAGAAAATCTGAAATTGTACAAATTATGAGATCAAGTAAATAGATAGCCTGACCTGAAAACGTGCATTTTCTTTTTTTTTATTTATAGATACTAGCTTCTAAATATTAAAATTTTCTTACTATAATTAGATATTTCAAACCATTTTTATATTATAAAAAATGAAAAAATAAGAACATTGGGTCATTGCTATAAAACGTTAAATTTTTTGTGTAAATGATCCATGAAAAGTACGTTTGTCTTCTATATTTCAAGCTATCATTGAGTCTATCATTTTAAAAATTTCTAGAGATACATTTTTGTTAATATGTTGTGTGCTTTATTTTGGTAGTGTCCTAAATAGTTTAATTTCTGTAAGAAGCCATGGTTGATATCAATTATGTTGCATAATTTCTCAACAAACAGGTAAACCTAAAAGAACAAGGAAAACTACTGCGACAAGATGAGTTTTTGGTATGGCAGGGAAGGTCCCGTAAGTCTCTGAGACATATTTTTCTTTTTGAAGATCTTGTTCTGTTTAGTAAAAGTCGTCGTGATCCAGAACGGAAAGGCCAAGAAATATACCAATACAAGCTTAGTTTCAAGGTATCACATGAATCTTCCTGTATTGAACTTGGAATTTGAGTGTTACATATTTGTAAGAACCTGTTAAATAGAATGCTTGTGCATCTTAAGCTTATATTTAATCATTCATATATTGAAGTAGTGTATAGATCTCTGATGATGATAACCTTATTATTGTTCCTGATGTATGTGTAGTCACACTGTATATGCATGTGTTTAGCAGCTATAAACGTTTTCATGAGATGGACATTATTGTTATTCCTGATGTATGTGTAGTCACACTGTATATGCATGTGTTTAGCAGCTATAAACGTTTTAATGATTTTATGTTTCAGATGACAGATATTGGTATGACAGAGCAGGTTGGTGACAGTCCTACAAAATTTGAGATCTGGTTCCGAAAGAGAAAGCAGAATGACACATATGTTCTTCAAGCTCCCAGTCCTGAGGTTAAACAGGCTTGGGTTGTAGAAATCTCCAAACTTTTATGGAAGCAGGCGCTGAGAAATCGAGGTAAGTGTTGTTTTTAAATCATAATTTTTTTAATATTTTTATTAAATTTTGAGTCTAATGTTGTTTTACATACATATATTGATTTTAAATAATTATTTTTGAGATACACGTATATAAAAAAGCAAATAACCTTCAATCTAAGCCAGGCAAAAAAAATAAAATTTTAAACATGTGTTACTGTATTTTTTTTTAATTGGTAAAAAGAAGGATGCAAAGTTCAGTTTACTTAATGATAACAATAGCATTTTATTTCTACAACCTCGAGTTCACGATTGATACAAATACACCAATTTCACATATTTGTTTATTTTCTTGTATCTATATATTTTTTAAACACAACTGGTTAATCACACCACTGAACTAACTGATTAATAAACTCAATCAAATAATATTTCACTACTTCTGACTCAACATAACTCGCTAATAAACTCAGTTATCACCAGATCTAGTCTAACTCACATTCATGCTAATCAAATCATTTTCTAAACTTTCAAGAATATTCTAGACATAAATTCATGCCCATTATAATACATCAGAACACCCATTGGCCACCAAACAACAATGCAAACATCTAAATTAAAATCATAGCATATAACCCTAATTTTTGACTTTCTTTTGTCTTACGAAGAAATGCGCTTGGCAGAGATGTCATGTATGGGGATTGGCAGCAAGCCTTGCTTGGATATTAAACCTAATGAGGACCAGATCAGTGACAGAGCCATAAACTTTCAGCAGCTTGGTCGAGGTAGAGTTAAACCTTTAGAAATGTTTTAGCAATATTAAATGGCAAATAATTTAAAGGACTTAAGAAATTATTCAGCAACCTTCACATTAGTACTTTTTTCTTTTGTAAGAACACTTTCAAAATATCAGAATAGTCTAATAGAAAATGTAAAATGAGTTTACTAACTTTTCTGAAGATTTCCTCTACACAACAATGTTATTGGCAGAGTATACTTAGAAGCCAAAATTGAAGAATAAATTATTTGAAATAACAATATATTCAAACAATTTTTAGTAAAATGTTTAAGCAACCATTTAATGTATATAGTTTAATTTCAAATATACAACTGTTAATTTTTATCTTCATCACGCAAACTTTGATTCATAAAGTTAAAAAGTCAGAAATAATGTGATAACTGTGAAAATATTGTTTGTGTAATCATTTATAGTTTTGCTTGCTATATATGTATGTCCAGAATTACAATCTTTTTCATGTAATGACACTGGTCTCTTTCAGCTTTTCGTTTCAGGAATTCCATTGCCGTTTCTTCATTTGACCAATTACGGAACAATAAACGGCCACACTCCACAATTTCAGTGAGCAGTTCATCTTCTTCTGGAAGTAGCCACACTTCATACCTACAGCATGGTTCTCTCAACTTGGGTTTTGAACCAGGAGATGATCCTTTTAGACAGTGCCGTCGATCTATAACCCAGCAGTCACAGTGTTCTACAGGTTAGTTGGAACTCTTTGGTGTAAAGCTGGAAATACAGTCCCAATAGACTTAAAAGTAAAAAATTAAAAATCATCATCAATACAAAAAACTTCTCAGAAGTCTATATTCTGCAATCAAGAGATACAGAAATATATTTATTTATTTTTATAGCTATGCTTTCTCCTACTTTATGCAGTTAAAAAGTTTTGAAATGAACTTCAATCATAAATAATTGTATATAAAAGGAAATATTAAAGTTGTCATGTGTGGTCCTGTTTTTAGGTGTATAAACATTAAATAATATCTTTATTTGAGAGGCTAAATTTCCAACTGCCACTCACGTGTTCATCATCAATAAAAACAAACTTCTGAGGAGTCAAATAGTGTTTGAATTATGAATTTATTTTGAAATGTCTTTCACAAGAGGATTATGATACAATGTTTATGTATTTTAATACAAAATTGCTGTACTCATTGAAAATGTTTTTATCTGAAAACTGTACAAAATGTACTCTTGTTTATTTAATTAAAATTACTTTATTATAGCTTTACAAATAAAAATTTAGATAGTTAAAAATATCAGTTAGTTGAAACAACATTTCACATAGTATTATTGGTACATAATAAAGTTAAAAATGTTTTGTGAGTTGTGTTTATACTAACTTGTTAGCATTTTAAAAAAGCAATTGTTTACACATTGGTTTCTTTTATTGCACATAGTTTTTGTGATACTTAAGTAATGAATTTTGCATCACTGATCCTAAAACATCATGTAGTAAACATGAAACTCATTGGATAGTCCCCCAGTGGCACAGCAGTATGTCTGTGTACTTACAACACTAGAAACCAGGTTTTGATACCTGTGGTAGGCAGAGCACAGATAGCCTATTGGATAAAAATTATAATTCAAAAAGTAATTCATAAAAAAGTGACAAAAATCAAGATTATTCATGGTTATTACTGTAACTTGTTTCTTTAGAAAGTGGTATTTCAACAGACCTGAGCATGGCTAGTGACTCTTGCGGGGAATCTGAGAGACCTCGTTATAAAAAAGCTGAACGTAGTGACAGCTTACTGTCTAATGACTCTGTAATTACCCATCTTCCCATTTCTGAGTGCCCTGTTGTTGAAGAGCAGTTGTTGGAAGAAGTAAGTTAAATTATACTAATTGTAGTTTAATGTGCTCTTAAGATCTTTTGCAGCACTGACTTCATTTACTTTTGAATATAAAATCACTATTAAAAATTTCCCTACACTTTTTGTCTTTGTTTTTAAGTTCTTTTATGACCTACCCAAGAGTAGGGTACTTCATTGTTGTGTAATGCAATAAATTGTTTTTGCCAGTAGAATTTGTATTTTGGTTTGGATAATACCCACTACAGAATTATTTTTTCTTGCAGTTAACAAACTAAGAAATGGATCTGAACCCCTTTACTTGTGTATATAAAATCTTATGTAATGTTTATTTTAAACCATGTAAAAATATAATGTAAATAAAATTATTAGAAGAACAATGTTACATACCTATGATTTCATTCTTATAGTTAACAAATTATCAAAATTCTAGTTTAATGTTTAACATTTGTATTGAGATATTGGTTGTAAGTTTCTGGAATTTTCATTCTTCTAGACAGAGACTACATCTATGTAATTAAGCAGCTGAAGGTTGATGTCCAAGACTAGTCTGCTATGTAAGAGCAGCTGCCACTGTGCCAAACTGTAAATCCAATGAAAAATGTTCAAGTTTCTAGGCAACAAGAAAAGTGTGGACTTATAAAATTCATACCTATGAAACTGGTCATGAAGAACTTCCTTTAAACCAATATCTCTGATTGTTCCTGCACAGAAGACTAATGGGCAAATATGAAAATTTCAGTGCCTTCTGAGTATCTTTTACTAAAATCCATGAAAACACAGGATGACAGTGACAAGTTATTTAGTATGGATGATATATGGTTTTGATTATGTCTAATAAGTTGTCAGTTCTGCTCTGTTGATTGGTTACTGTTCTTTCTATAAATATTTGGTACATCTCTATAGCTCAAAATAGTTCTTCAAAACTCTTGCTCACTAGATTATGATATCAACCAAACAATAACTTAGCCAGTATGTAGAAGTAAAACAAAAGTAAACAAAAACTTTGAGCCAGTTCCTTTTTACTAAAAAAATTGAATAAATAGTGAAATTGATTACCTAAATCTTTCTTTGAAATAAATAACGACATACTTTACCTTATGAGGTGACAATGTACAATAATATAATTGTACTGCAGAAAAATAGATCCTTTTCAATGATCAAAAACCTATTAATTACCCTCACTCTCTTATTGTATATACTAAAGTTGAAGATGTGCACGAACCAGTTTCTTTTTATTGTAATAGTGTATCTACACTGACACAAGAATTAGGCAGTATAAAAAAGAATGTCAGTTTTGTAATGTCACACTTTATAGTATACAAAAAATATTTTGTAATTTAGAACTTAACTGCACAGCTTTTTTAAATGCATTTTACATACAGGGCTTAAAACGTAGCTATTGTATTTGGAAGTTTATTTATACCAAATATATATTATTTTTTGTCACATAATAATTTTCAGACATTTGGTTTAATCATGGATAACATTACTTTCAATGTAATAATGAACCACTTTTGACAATATGATGTTATACAAAGAATCAATGTTTAATGTTGCATGATAAAATGATGGTTAAGCTTTTATTGAGAACCTGATGACCTTTCTGTTGACCATTAAATATGATGAATGATATTTCTTTTAGGTGAACTATTAAACCTATGATACTTCATTGTTAATTTTCAAGTTGTATAAGGTGATTTGGTATTTTAAATGAATTATTCAGATTTCATAAGATATACCAAATAAATAAATTCCCAAACATTTATTATGATACACAGATAGCATTTGTTTCTGTATTAACTAAATTTCAGAGTACTGTGTTAACCTGTACTTGTTTCATTAGAAATAAAAGTACAAAGCATCTGTTTTGCTGTGCTAGAGGATCAACAATGATTTATTGTTTATAGCATTTAAAAGATAAATTTATGTAGTATTGTAACAACAGGAGTCAAAATATTTTAATTGAAGCAATGGGTTGTATTACAACATAATTACTTAGCTTTCCCATCGTTGTCAGGGTTCCAGTATAGGTAGTTTTTTTTTTCGTAAATATCTATACCAGTATATACTGGAAGATTAACTGCCTTAAAGATACTTTTTATAATTTTTTTGAAGGTTAACAAAGAAATTTATTGATATAAATTAAAGGTGGTCAATGTACCTGGAAGAATGAGAAGTAAAAGTGAGCAACTTTAGTTTTTTATATATATATATATGTGTGTTGGAGCATTTGAGCCATTTTAAATAATAATAAACAAAACTGTTAGGTAAAATGTTTAAAAAATAGTTTTTCCAGTGAATGAAATATGTCACAAATTGATAAATAATTTTATAATTGTATGAACTTACTTGCAGCTAGTGTTTATTTAAACTAAAGGTCAAAACTTTAGTTCTTGTATTTAACAAATTGTTATATTTGTGCCAAGTTTCAGAATGCTTGAAAAACACTTTAAGCGATTCTGTTTCTACACACAAATGTAAGTTATATTCCTGATTTTGGAAAGCCTATTTCTATACTGACGATTACAATATGAAAATACCTGAACATCTTTGTTATTTTAATGTAGTGTTTTTGAACATAACTGTAATAACATTAACCTGTCTAAAAACACTTCTTTAATCAGAAAACAAGATAAAGAATAGTTAGGTTTGAGAAAATTCTCAAAAAACGTGAATTTCTTAAAGCCCACTTTTCTGAATTCTAATAAAACAACCCATTTCAAATGAATTGAGACAGCCATGACAAAGCCCACTTATAATTCAATCAATATCAAAAGAACCCATGTTGAGCTATAAAAAAACAAGTCTAGAAATGGTTTTTGCTATGTATATAGCTTTGTATAGAGCATATCTTTATTCAAATTTAACCTGTTCTAATGGTGTTCATGTTAATGCTGTAATATTTGTGAAATGTCTGTTGATAAAGAAATGATGGATGTGTTTCTTGTTCAGTTGTGAGTATATATATATATAAATAAATATACATAATTATTGTACAAGTAATTTTTATTTCTGTAATCACAAAATCTATAATAAAATATATTCTTCAGTGTAACCTCGTTTTGTTTGCTATTGCATTTTAGTTAGTTTCTGTATATTTACTAAAATATTATACATTTATTGTTATTTTCCACAAATACATTACGTATTTCAACATATTTAAATTTATATAATTTTTGTTTTTCATTTTACAGAAGTATCCCCATATTGAAAAGCAAACTTACTATAACTTGATGAGAACACTCTGTCATTATTGATGTATTTATTATTCTCATATATTTTCAATTAAAAACTAGTTTTAAATAGATGATCTAAGTTACTAAACTAAAGTTTACTTGTAACATAATACAGAAAGTTCAGACTAAGTAAAATAACTAAAACTAATTACAAGTATAGAAGTGTTTTTTTTCAGTATTACTAACACTAGTATATAAATAGTGGAGCACAACATAATGACGATTAATTTTCTAGTTAAAACATGCTTTACATTATTCAAAGTTTAACAGGCACAATTTTAAACCATGAGAAATTAGTTCATGAACAGACCTTTGATATAAAAATCTTATTTGAATATTGAAGAAACTTACTATAAGTGAAGAAAATCTACTGTATGTCACGGTTAGCCACACAACTCGTTTAAGCTTTGGTTGACATCACCATAATTGGAGCACAGTTAGCCACACAACTAATTTAAACTTTGGTTGACATAACCATAATTGGTAGCACAATTACTACACAGCTGATTTAAACTTTTGTTGAGATCAACAGAATTTGTAGCACAATTAGTACACAGCTCATTTAAACCCTGGTTGAAATCACCACACAGCTTGTTAAGACTTTGGTTGAAATCACTAATTATTTCAATTAGCCACACAGCATGTTGAAATTTTGGTTGAAAAATACCATAATTGGTTGCACAGTTACCAAACAGCTCAATTAAACTGATTGAGATCATAATAATTGGTAGCACATTCGGTCACACAGCTTGTTTAAACTTTGGTTCAGATGACTATAGTTGATAGCACAGTTACTTAACAGCTTTTCAGACTTGGTTAAGATCACTAGAACTGAATACAAGAGGATTAGATGTCTGCACTCTTCACAGATGAGATTAATAATATGATTCATGTCATGTTGTATAATGTTATTCTTCTTAGTAGTTCAAGTTAACTATTAGTTGCATCAGTATTAGGGTGGCCCAAAAATGAAAAATTATTTGCATGATATTTGCCTATACTTTCACTAATGATGTTGGATATAAAAAACTGCATTGATTCATGCATATTTAGAGGTGGTATAACTTAAACACTTTAGTATCATTATACATTAGAGAGAGAGACAAATGAAATAGATGTTATTATGGATTTTAATCAGTAACAAAAACAAAGCTGCAAAAATCACTAGTAAACTGAATGAAATCTTTAATTGTGTCTTGCATATCTGAATAGCATTTAACTATAATAATAATACAATAATTTATCATATCACTTATGATGTCGTTTGGTGTAGTTTAACTGTGCAGAGAAAGTATTGCTTTTGATCTTCACCCTGAAGATACAAGAGTTAAAGACCTGAATCAGAGCAATACCTCTCTCTGCACAGTCATTCACAACTTTCAGCCAGGAAACTGCCTTCTGCATTTCTTTGTATTCCAGAATCCCTTTCCACTCTGCCAAGTCTTTCTCCAGAAATGCCTCTGCTTTCCCTTTTCAATTTAAATTTAAGATGATTAGAGTTCTCTTTGTAACATAAGATTGCAAAGGAGCCTTGATGTTAAAGTTCTTCCTCTCTAGTTGATGAAAGTTTTCTTTCTTCTATGGAATATCGAGATTCTTCACCATTTCACATTTAGTAGTTATCTGACCAAATCTTCTGATAAATACTATATGTGTTGTTTGAAGCCTGCCATTGCAGAATTGGCAACTGAGTTATCTGGATATGCAGATAACTTTAACATTGTGCTGAGGTCATTGAAGGGTGCAGCCATCGTTGGATTGCTGCCTCTTAAATCTAGAAACCACATAGTACATAATCCAATTATATTGATTTATAAAATACTGTACATAATAATCTAACAAACTTACAAGATCATGCAACAGTATCATTGTTTACCAACCGATAAACAAAGAGTAATTCCAAAAATTAACTGGAGAAGTAAACTTGTATAACTATTTGTAATTAGACTTAAGTTTGCCCTTATGCACAATAAAGCCCCATGTTATATTGCCAAGATTGTGACTCAGAAACCAAAAAGGTTTTGGAATTACCAAAACAATAGGCTTAATGTGAGCTTGATATGTCTTCTGATAAAAGATAAGCTAACTATATAGAACAGAACTAAAAAAGAAACTTGGAATTTAATTAATACAATCCTGTATAACAAACTGACTAATAATCCTTAATGTCATAAATCTACGCACATAAAAACTAAAACCTATAATATTTTGCAATGTAAATTTATGCATCAAGTTAGCAATGCAAATTAATCTGAAGTGTAAAAACTGATTTGAAAATAAAATCATTTCAAACATTATAACTGAGATACTAATAAAACTAAGTATAAAGACAAACATTGATGAAGTAAGTCATTACTTGCATAACACACAAACACATTGGTTGTTTTCTTCCAAAATCTTAAACAGGTGCCAAAACATTAAACGTAAAAATACTTCTAACTATAAAGATAGGCAGAGTAAGTCCACATTATCACTTGTTGATCATTTTGAAATTGGTCATGGGACCTACACTACATATCACCACAAGTGGGGAATCTGGATGGGAAATGTGAGAGGAGGTAAATATCTATCAGAAATACAATTTCAGTCCAGGAAAATGTTAACTTCTGATACAACATCTTACCTCGTCTCACAAAATAACTATAATCCCACATCAAACTTGTGGATGGCCAGTGAAAAAAATGATCCTCCTTTAGGAAGAGTCCAGAGAAAGACCATGAGGTGTGGAACCAAAAAAGAAAGTATCACACCTCAGAAGAAGAATGTATCACATATAATCCAGGTATACTCTTAACCCCTTTTATGACTGTGTCATGAACATCTGGAATTGTACATCAGGTCCATGGTAGGAAGAGCTACAATGTAATTGACATTGAGCATGGCGACAGGATGGAGAGTGCAGATTTAAAAAAAAAGTATAACTGGTCAGGAACCACTTACCATAGAGTTAGATCCACGATACACTAACAAAAATGGCCCTGTAAATAAAGAAATAACAAAACATTGTACACCACAGTCATAACAATCCTGCAGTGTGTAAGATAGTGGCTGGAGGTAAACAAAAACCCATTGAGTAAGAAATGGCCACATGATGTAAATAATGTGAAATAAAGGTATGAGGTGTAATCCATATACCGGCCTCAATGATGACCTCCAAAGGATGATGGAAATGGGCAACCAGGGGCATGGTAAGGTGGCAGATTTGATGAGAAGATACCCACACGCGAAAGGGAAGAATACACCAGCCTAATTAATTAGTAAATCCAACTGATAAGGGTAATAAGAGAGAGGTCCTGAGATACTGAAGGATTCCATGGAATAAACAAATGGTTATGTGAACCATGGAAGAGAGCAGTGCAAGTGAAATACCATCAGAGTGTCTGGACCAGACATGGGAGATGATCAGGATCAGAATAGACATAAAAGTGGGAAATGTAGGAGAATTAAATGGGATAAAAAAGTGGAATTACCCTCCCTAGTAGCAGAAGTTTCCAGCAAAAATAAATGGTCAGGGAAGAGGGGAACATAGGAACTGTGGAACAGTACATGGTGAGCATCAATTACAAAGATCTCGAATTGCCAAGACTTCAAGGAATATGGATTTGAAGAAAGGTGATACAGGGAATACAAAGACAAAGGTTCAAATGGAGGATGAGTGAGAGCATGAAGGACAACATTAAGATTCCAATCTGGGAAAGAAACAGGGAGGGGAGGAAAGGGAAAAATGAATGAAATAACAAAGACAACACATGAGATTGGAAGACAGACACAAACCTAGTAAATCTGAACATGCAAAATAATGCAGCTCGATGGCTAGCAATCGAGAAAACTGATAGTCCCCATCAAAGAGCCAAGTGAAAAATGCGGTCAGTTGGGGTAAGGATGGTTGTGAAGGATGATATCCCCAGTGGGGTGACCAGCAGCAGAAAGTATACCATTTACATTGATAAACTACCAAGGAGGAAGGATGTACAGGATGAGTAATCAATGAGAAAAAGCACCTGAAAAACCTGGATTGTCTGGCGAGGAATCGAACAAAAGTCACACGTGAAGCCAGAAGGTGGGAATGGATGTATGATGCACACCTGATTGAGGTTGATGAAGGAACATGGGGAAAAAATGGCAAAGGTAGGGCAGGTGACACCAAAAACCTGCAAATGGAAACTACGTCTGAGCAAGCCAAAACTGAGCCACTAGGAGCACACAACATGGAGTGGTCTGAAACAATGTAAAAACCCTGAAAAGAAGGTAAATAGGAAGATATGCATACATCCCTTTCAGTTTTCACTTAGAGCATCTACAGCTTCAGCCAAAGGATGAGGAATGGAAGACCAAAAACTTGATTGATATTGAAGAATTTGTGGCATTTTGAGGCATTTTATGCTATTATCAAATGCCTCAAGGAGTGAAAAATATTGTTACGACAGTGGAAGTCACGTGATTCTGGGAGCATGCGAGCTGGAGTTTCTAGAAGGATCGTGAATTTTCCTGGCAACTCTAGTTTCTTCCAGGCGCCCTCTTTT